AGGCCGCATAATGAGGACTCTTGGAATCCGACAAGACCTCAGCGCCGCGCTATGACGTAATCGTCCTTTGAATCTGGGCATTTTAAGGATGCATCCTAGGTTTTCGAACAGAGCAAAAGTAACCAAAATTGTCTCCAGCCAAGAGTTTTCTCCATGGCTAAAACCAGGCACATACATGAGGCACAGTGTATTTTGTGCAAGAAGCGATTCAAGTTTGGGACGATGGGAATTAAGGCAGTGGAGTCGCACATGCGAAGCGCGAAACACAAAGCGTCAAAATCAACTTACCGAGAAACAGCCGGTATTTCTCAGTTTTGTTCCACCCTTGTCTCTGCAACGCCTCCACTTATCACCAAATCAAACATACTAAGAAAACGATACACAGAAAAAAAGCTGCAAAAAAGACTTAGCACTGGTTATGTTGGGGCTTTAAAACTGATTTTTGTTCCCTGCTAAAACAAAGTTTGTGAATTCAGTTAAATAATTGTTCAAATATATCTGTCATTTGTGTGTTTTTAGCTTTCTTCCTGTTTGGGAAGTTTTTCAAAATTTGAAACATTAGTGCAGTGGTTTATGTTAAAATAAACCTTTGGGTTAAGTTGTTCAGATGAATTTGGTCTTAAATTTTTATTTCAAGTGGCATTAAAAAGTCTTAAAAAGTCTTGAATTTAACTTTCCTTATGCTGTAGGAACCCTGTTGTTGTTTTCCTCTCTATGTTTTGTACTCAGCTGACTTTTCATGCTGTCTAAAAAGGAAACGAGAGGAGTCCAGGTGCCCATTATGGCATCAGCACCATGTTTATTAAAAGTTCTCTCTTCAGCTATATCAGGATGATCGATCATTTTATCTTTGAAACTAGTTGGCTTTACAATATTTTCCTGGAGAACTTCTGTTTTAAGCTGCTGTTATCATCAGGAGGGAACCAGTGTACCATTCGTTAACACGTGGTTTTACTAAAGTTGTACACTTACTATCTACTTCAGTGGAGGGCAATTCCAATCCCTGAGGGCTGGTATCCTGCAACTTTTAGATGTGTTTTGGTCCAACACACCTAAATCAAGTGATTGGATGATTGAGAGGACTCTGGAGGAACTGACTGCATGCTCAGCCATCTGATTCAGGTGTGTTGGACCAAGGATGGATCTAAAAATTGGAGGATGCCAGCCCCCAGCAACTGGAATTGCCCACCCCTGATCTACCTGGATGGTAGGACGAAGCCATAGATGGACCGACCCAACATCCTTTTCTAATCCTGGGAGTGTAATACCATGTCTTTCACCCTTTGCAGCTGTGTTTCAGTTGGTCTCTCCATGAAGTATAGGTGATTGTCGATGGGGATTTTTTTATTTTAACCATTCTTAATGAGACCAGCTGCTTTTCCATTTCAAATGTGCTCAAACTTTGTTGATATTCCATTTATGTTGACAAAAATCACCATCACTTCACAATCTGAATGTTTCCATTAAATGATTAATGCAATTAAACTCAGATGTGAGAACATTTGTTCACTTGATAACTCACAATTCACCACTTCCTGCCATCATCCATCTGGACAAATCAGACCAAACTGATTTGTACCCCTAGAACTGTGCTTTCCACATTTGCATTCATTTGGTGATGTAGACCTTAAATTCAGTAGCACTGCCTTGGATATCAACTCCAAGATCCTCTCTAATATCTCGTTCCCACTGGCTGAAAAAACCTAGTTTAAACCCGGGAAAAATCGGCTTTCAGTGGCAGTGGGAGCAGCTCTCTGAAGCGCGTCTGCCCGGTTCAAACGACTCGGCAAGCGACCTGCGTTAAAATCAACTTGGCTCTGATCGTCATGCTGTGGAACACCAGACCGGCTAAATTATGTGATACCATTGAAAGCAACATGTGGACGTCAACCAGGGGTGGATTTAGGAAATTTGGGGCCCTAGGCAAGGACGGCAGGGGGCCCTCTGAATTGAGAGGACAACTCATAAAACAGACCCATTCTACAGATAGAGAAATGTTAATAGAATAGACATCCATTATCTGTTCTAGGTTGTGTCCCTCTCTTCTTGTCCCTCTCTTCTTCTTGTTTTCCTCTCTATGTTTTGTACTCAGCTGACTTTCCATGCTGTCTCTAAAGGAATGAAAGATTTTTTCCAATCACTAAGCTCACTTAGCTGATTGCTCCTTCCTGTGTTTCCAAAAAGGCCAAAGTAAATAACCCAGTCCTTCTTTTCACTGTAGACAAGCCATGATCTGCTTCTCTGTTCTCCATTTTTCATTTGGATGAAATAATAGCTGCATGAATCATGACAGCAGACAAGATAGAGGAGAGCAGGAGGCGGGGTTACCAATCTACTGGCTCTGGAGAGCAGAGTTTGCTGCTTTTAGATGTTGTCGCCAAAGTCTCCAGTAGCGGAAAAAAGTCCCTAGATTTTGAGATAGGTGCTTTTTTGAAATCAAAGTGCTAGAGGGGTCTGAAAAGTAATATAGCGACTAAAGCACTAAGTTGGCAACACTGCTCTTCACATCGTTTGTTTCCAAATGGTTTGCTCCTTCCTGTGTTTCCAAAAAGGCCAAAGTAAATAACCCAGTCCTTCTTTTCACTGTAGACAAGCCATGATCTGCTTCTCTGTTCTCCATTTTTCATTTCGATGAAATAATAGCCACATGAATCATGACAGCAGACAAGATAGAGGAGAGCAGGAGGCGGGGTTACCAATCTACTGGCTCTGGAGAGCAGAGTTCGCTGCTTTTAGATGTTGTCGCCAAAGTCTCCAGTAGCGGAAAAAAGTCACTAGATTTGGCGCTTTTTTGAAAAAAAGAAAAAAGAGATAGAGGGGTCTGAAAAGTCGCTAAATATAGCGACTAAAGTGCTAAGTTGGCAGCACTGCTCTTTGCATCGTTTGTTTCCAAATGGTTTGCTGCTGTCTGTTTGGATCTTTCTGAACATGTGCAGCAAATGGACTGATCCAATATGGTGGACACTGAAGGGGGGCTGAGACACACTTAATATTATAAACATTCTGGTGGCATTTTAGCGAAAGGAATTTTATCAAAAACATCATAAATGTGCACAAATAGGGAATAGTTGTATTAACTATACATGTAAAGGGAGTTTTATTGGGCCCCAGGAACAGGCAACTGCCTAGTATTGCCTAATGGTAAATCCGCCCCTGACGTCAACACACCACACAAGTCACAATCGATTTAAAAAGTTGAAACGACTCTGTTTACATTTGTTAAACATGGAGCAGCTCTGGTGAGAGGGATTCGGACAGATAATAGAAAGAAACA